GCTCCACTGCTCACTGAAGCCCCCAGGAGCTGATTCAACTCACTAACCTGGCAAAACCCTGTGGGTAATTTTTTGCTGGGTTAGCGAGCTGACTCAGCTCCCAGAAGGGTTCGTACAGTGGAGGAAAGACTGGGAACAGAGGAAGGAAGAGGTGGATTCTCTATATAGCAGCTTTGGGAACTGAGACAGTGGCTCAGCCATCATGAGTAACTTAACCCAAAGATAGTCCAACTCTGAGATGAACGCTGTCTACTTTCCCCTCCCTCTGGGTGAGTCTCCATCTGCTAGCCTCCAAAAATAATGCAGAATTTAAACCCAGATTATCCCAATTTTTGTGTGCAGCTCTTTTAGGAAGAAAAATATTTGTCCTCGAGTGTCTGGGTTGGGGGCTCCCAGCCCCCTCTTATTAACCTTTATTCCTCTAATGTAGATTCTTGCAGAGCAGCAAGAAGGCAGAGGGACTTCTCAAGCAGCTGCCAGCAAACTCCGTGTGCAGACATGTGTGCAGACCCAGTCCTGAGGTGAAGAACAGGATTCTCAATGCATCCCCTTTGGCAGGGGCAGAGAGGTGATGGTGGCACTCCATCTTCCTTGAGGGCCCTGTGACTGGGAGAAAGAGGCTGAAGGAAAACAAAGCTGAGGTGAGAGGCAAAGCTGCCCCTCACCATGGAGGACCAGGTCAGTGGAGCAGGAGGAAGCAGCCACATGGTGCTAGCAGGCACTGATGCCTCATTCCCTACCCCGACATGCATGTGGCTGGGGAAGGGGACATTACACCTTGTCTCATGGGCCACATCCTTCTCACACAGGAGAGCAGAAGGCATGACTTGTTGTAAGCATCTGCTGGTCCCTCCGTGGGATCTGGCTGACCTCTGGCTACCCCCTCGTCTCCTGCTGATCTCCCTGATTCTCTGACCCCGTTAACCTGCCTTGAAGAGGTGGGAAAGAGTAACTTCCTTGCCCTGTATCCAGGTGTGCTCTGTGCTTCCAAGTGACCTATTGCACCTCCTCTGAGGTGGTTGAGCAAGCATCTAAAAGTTGTCATGTTTAATAGCATGGAAATAATCACACCCACCAAATCCTTTTCAGTAAATAAGATTAAGCTTTACCAAGGAAACCAGAAATTATATACCCTACTCCTTCATTTGAAAATTCATTCATTTCCTTTTTGGAAAAAATTAATTTTTTTTTTTTTGGAACACTTCTGGGGTTATTGTCTGGTTCTGGTAAGTCCTTCATAACTACCTGAAATGGGAAAAGCCCATAAAAGCTTGTGCAAGAGCCCTTTCTCATTTAAGAAGGGAGAGCCACCTTGGAAGTCGCAGGCTGCATTTCTCAGAAGTGACTGGCCGTTTTACACGTCTGCTCTAAAGTGCTTGTTCAGAGCCAGGTGCTCAGGGCCTCACGGTTAGAGCCTTAACAAAGACCAGGACTTTTACTTTAGCTGGTTCAATCCCAAAATATTGCGGCACTCAAGTCCCTCCCTGAGGCCTCCCTTCAGTTCCCTTGAAGGGAACTTGGGCAGAAGCCCACATACCTCACTTTCCACATCTCTGGAAAACCACCATGGAGAAAATACTTTGGCTGTAAAAGACAAAGGAACTATGACTGGCAAACCTTTAGGAAAAGTGGTGGCATAGCAAAATGTGTTACAGGTAGGCAACCTGGACAGAAGCTGAACAGCCTCAGATAATGTCACCTGGGGGGATGGGGAAGAGGAGAAGAAGCCCCCACCCAAGCTTGAGGTTCTTTGAAAGTATTCAAACCAGGCTCTGCTCTCCGGATCTTCCAGCACATTTAGCCCAAGATCTCTATCTGCAAGAAAAGGCTGGGTTTCATGTTAACAGGTTTAATTGTCTGGGTAATGTGTTTGCTTCACTAGGTGTTGGGTTACTGGCCTCCTTCAGAAAGCGAGGACGGTTCTCCTCAAGGTTAGGAGCTTCGTATGCATTTGTTTGTTCACTGAAGTAAAGCCTTTCCTCTTTAGTCAGCAAGACTGGTGCTTTCAGTGCTGTAAAAAAGAATCAGCAGAAAGCCCAACACGACATTGTTCATGGGCTTGGGGGTGGGTGTTTGTTTTACATTTCTTTCTGGGATCTTTCTGTTTGTCTTTTAAATAAACGTCATCTTTCTTGCTCAGACTTTAGCTCTTTGAAATGCAGCAAATGGATGATTAAGTGCAGGAAGCATCCAGTCTTTGAGCGTGATTTGTATGCTAATCAATGAAACCAGCTCTGCTGAATCATATTACACTTTGACATCAAAGCAGGCCATTAGGAAATGGCTAGGAAAAGATCCAATTATAGCCATGGGCTCAGGGAGCTGAAGGCGGTCACTGGAGGCATCAGCGCAGGAGTGGAAGTCCTGGTAGCAACAGGGCCAAGACTGTAGCTTTAGAGCAGATTCACCCGCATTGTCTAGCAGGAGAATCTGCATACGGTTAGCAAAATCTCCCTGTGAAGGGAAGTAACTTCAGGGAAAATATTGCCCTAAAAGCATTTCATTATTTTTTCCTAGGATAGAAGCTGTCTGAACAAAAGCACTTTGTTATGCTGAGATGAATTTTATAACACCCTCCTTCCTGATTTTGCTAAAACTTCTCCGCAAAAGCACTACAGGTCCAAGGTGCATCCCTACAAAATAGCCTTTGATGAGCATCCTTCCCATGAACCCCGAAGGCAGACAGCTTCATTTAGAGACAAAAGCAACAAACAGCACAAGTAGGTAGGGCTGCCATGGGGGTGCTATTTTCACAATATGGGGCCTGAACCGGAACACGATGGGGTTTAGAATAATGATTTTCTCTGGAGCTTTTTGTTAACAGGGATTCACTGCCTGCTCCAGAGCTCGGTGCCCCTCTCCAGTTCATTGTGTGAGCACAAAGGCAGGTCTTACTGCGTTTAACTACAACATCAGTTAAAAAATCCGGGCACTTGAAAGCAGGGAAATGAGGAGGTAAGACTGCATTCATTTTAACTATTTCTATATCATAACCATATGCGTTACTTTTATTGACTATAAACAAAAGCCTTTTCCATCTCTACAGGTCCCTAATTCCAGTTCAGACAGATACTTAGGAATCTTATCTATTTTTCATAGCAGACTTTTTTCCCAAGTTTTGATGTTTTTAATTATTTTTTTCCTTCTTAGATAGATGAAGACCTGGTTTCTGTAGTTTAAAAATCTAGATCGGAAAAATCTTCAATGAGTTGAATCAACAGGATGAAAACAGTTGGCTAGCCTTATATTATGTGCAACGGAACATCCCTTTTCCCTTGGGAAGTTAAGATGAATTGTTTTCAAGGTCCTTCAAGCCCCATGTCCAGAAACAAAGTCACCTTTCTGTAAAGGCTACAGTCCTACAGAGGGGACCAAATATCTGATCCTGTAGCTGCAAAATCATAGCCTCTTCCACTTTACCTGAAGGGAAGAACTTTGTCTTCTCCTTCACAGGTGACAAATCCCATCAGGACTGCTATCAACCAGTACAAGGCATGTGCTGCCAGAAGGCTATAAAGCTCAAGTCATTAACAACCTCCCATCAATACAAGCCGGTGCACACGTTCACCTGAGATTTTGCCTTATGGAGCGCTTTAAGAGGGGTGGAATGCGTCAAAGTCATGAAGTAATGCTCACTGATGAAAACAGTATTTCCGCACCATATCTCAGACCCCAAAGAGTTTGGAGAGTGGTGCTCCAAGCTTTGCATAACCGCTCTCCGTTGCCTATAGAGTAATTGGTGATTTGCACTCAGCTGTTTTCCCAGCGGTTAGCTGAGATGGAGGGAAAGCTGAAGTGTGGCTGTACACCAGAGATGGAGGGGGCTGAGGCAGGGACTCAGGAGGAGACAGAAAGGAAGAAAACAAGGCAGAGCTGGGATAAGAAGTCAGAGTAGAGCGCTGGCTGTGCCGCCACCTCCAGCCCTGTGTACCCTAGCTCCTGCCCAGCAGCTTCCAGGCTGGCCAAGTCCCCAGCACCAGGAAAGCAGGCAGCGGGGCCATGGCTGTTTCACCATCTCCTCGCTCTTCTTCTCCAGGCGATGGCTTCTTTTGTCTGTGCCTGAAACCAACCCTCTATGTTAGAGCTTCCTGGGGAAGTCTGATCATTTGAGTTTGGAAAGGGTGCTCCGTGTGTTATGGCGGTGTAAGAGTCACGGTCGGTGGTCCTGTGGGAGATGCTGCAAACAGCGAGGCAGGACCGATCCCTGCCCTAGGGAGGCAACCGCAGTCTCGGAGGCCAAAGGCAGCGCGTGGGTGTAAGAGGGAGCAGGAAAGGGAGGAGCCCCTCGCCGTTAGAAACCCTACGAGGCTGTCTTTCTGCAAAGCAATTTCCAAGCGTTAACTGAGCTGCACAACATCCCTGCAGGTAGTTAATTAACTATCATCTTCTTTTGAACGATGGGGGAAAAAAAGTAAAATAAATGAGGGCAGAGCAACGTAACATGCCCAAAGCCACAGGAGGAAGTGGTTGTCGAAATCCAGAGCAGCGGTAGGCTGTTCCCAGCCGCTCGTCTGCAGCTCAGAAATGAGACCAGACAATTCATTTTTAGCAGATAATTCTTCAGCACAGAAGATTTAGGGTCCACAGGAACTTTTTGGTCTTTCTGCCTTCTGCTCACTGCCAGTCCTTGTACTTGCAGCAGCAAAGCAGATCTGGAGAGCCTTGTGAATAAGAAAAATTCAAAATAATGGTTGGAAGCAAGGGGTACTGCCAAAATTGTTTGCAGAGATCAAAGGGACCCCTTGTTTTTCACTTTTTTTTTTTTGTTTGGCTTACCACAATACTTTCATCCACATTTGGGTAATTATTTTTAGTAGTGTCTAACTACATTGTTACAGATTAGCCTCACCAAAACATTGTCAATAACTTGTTGTTGTTGCTAAAAATTAATATTTCAATAAATCAAAAAGAGAAGAAAAACCCCAAACCAAAACCCTACTGTTAAGCTCATTTTGATTTTCAAGCCTGGAAAATTCTCAGGAAAAATAGTTTTTTACATTTTTTTGCAGTGACCTTCATACAAAAGATTTTCCTCAAAAAATAGCCACCTGTCTAAGTTTCAGACTGGGAAAAACATATAGAGCTGCGTCAGCACCACATGCTAGTTCTCTATCTGACATGGAGAAAAGCTTTAAGCATGTTTTTTTTTTTAAACCAATTCCATTCATACTGAAGTAGAAGCGAGCTCACGGTCTTCGGATAAAGCGATGTAAGCAAAGGGGAGCTTAGTGCACAAACAAGCCTTTATTGGCTGTTGTGAAGCTGGGCCCTGGCTGTTTGCTCATATTGTCTATGTGCACTGAGAGGAGATGGAAGACTGTGTTTAGCGAGCATCTTTCTTAAAGACAGAGGAGCACTGTAAGAAAAAAAAAATCTGCTCTACTAAGTCTCACAAGGGAGCCTTTGTGTAGCAAAAGGCTGTATTTTTAGGTCAGCTTGTCTAAACTGAAGGGGGTGATTGGTGTGTTAAATAGAAAGGCAGCCTGGTTTTTAATCCAGGTCTTTTTCTGCAGTATGGGCATAACCTGCAAGGCACTTTGATTCTTTTTGGGGTGGTGGTTGTAACTGGGACCAAGTGGCAACTAGCAAGAGGCAGGCATGTGGCCCTGCAAATTCAACGATAGCAGTATTCTGCAAGGTTTAACTGTAAAAGCGATTCTTTCTCTCCTGTCCTTTGTCCCAAACAGAATGGGAATGAAACACAGTTGCCAACTGGCATATAAACAGAGCACTGAATAAATAAAGTAATTTTGGATGTTACCAGAAAAATATATTCTGCATAAAACCTGCTCTGATTAAATGTGTCATTTCCAGTCTGCCTGGACTACCAGCTGATACCAGCCCGAGTATCTCCTGTGTCTCAGAGTGACTTACTAATAACAGGGAAATTTAAAAGTGGATGAGCAACCTAACTGTGCATAAAGGTTTTTGCTCTATCCCGTTCTTCAGGGTGCATGTTAGCAAACCCCATTGCTGACTGAAGTGAAGGAGAAACGTGCATGGACCAAAATGAGGGAAGCTCTGAGCAGCTGCAGGAGTCCCCAGATGTAAGGTTGCCCAGGACCAGCACAGATTTCTCTTAATAGTGAGGACACTTTGTAAAGACTTGTATTTTGGTTGAGTCATTGGGAAGCTGAAGGCGAGTGTATTTGATAAGCACAGAGAGAAGCTGGCTCGGCTGAGCTTAACTGAAACCCCATAACAAGAGGAAAACCCCATCAAAAGTGCTGCTGCAGAGATGATACCTGATTCCAAGCCTCTGGCAGGAGACACAAATTTGCACTCCTGGCTCCCTTGGGGAAGTGGAGATTCCCTCTGAGCAGTGATTTGGCACTATTAGGTTCATGCTTTACTTCAGCCTTCAGAGCAGGATTTAAACGATGTTTAAGCAGCGCTCAAGCAAGGTGCACAGACCGCTGTTAAAGGGTATCTATTGCACATGTTAAAGGCATGCTTCTAACATCCCTATGCCCCGTTAAGGATGTATCCTGTATTATGGGGTTGCTGCTATCATTGGAGATGGCTGTGAGAGCCCCATTACACACACGGCAGCTTATCAGCTTGTTCTCTAAACCTGCGTTGTGAGTATACAGCCAGGGCCTTGGTTACTTTTCAAAGAGCTCCCCGGTTTGGCCTCAATGGATGGAGCGGCCAGTCCGTGCTCTCTCTGCTCCGCTGCTCGCTGGAGCGGGGAGGGAAGCACCAACTTCTCCAGCTGCTTTCTTTCATTGTCACCCTCACTCTGGGACAGAGGAGTCCTGCCCGTGAGGCACCTGTGAAAGCTGCTCGGAGGATGCTGCATGCAAAATCACATGGAGCCAGTGCACGATTCAGCCTTCCTGCAGGAGTTTGCAGGATGAGACATTCCCACAACATGTCAGTAGGTGGCAAAAACCTACAACCCTTGTGCTAGCCAAGGAATAAACAATTTTGCTGCTCCTGCAGGAACAGGAGATATCATGGGTCATGTACCCTCCAGGCCAGAGATCCTTGCACTAACACTGCTAGGAAGGAGGGGACATCCCAGAAAGGGGATCATGCTGCATAGTCCTGCAGGAGAAGAGGCCTGGAAGAGAAAAAGTGTGTGGGGGGAGAAACATGGGAATGGGAGCAGGAATTGCCCACAGACCCCAAATGGCTTTGCTTGCCCAATATCCCCGCTGGGGAAAGGGGAGAAAAACTCCTCAAGAGCTGCCCCAGCACACTGGGCAGTGTGCTCCTGCCTCCCTCCATTCATTTTATGGCCCTCCACGCCGTCGTCTGGCCCTGCTTGGGAGTTATTTTAAGAAAGCTGGAGACCGAGATGGTTTAATCACTGCTTCTAACGTTGGGAACCGACAGGTTTAGGGCTGTGCTATTGCTACACGATCCGAAGTTACCTAGTTAGCCAACCCAAAACTTGCCAAGGTTGATACTTTTCAAGCTGATGATAATACTTTAATCTTCATGTTCAGGCTGAAACGGAGCTGCTCAAGTCGATGTTCCTGGGCTCTTTTCCCTTGCAGCTTTGTGTAAGCAGATTGAAACAATCCCAGGTGCCTGCCACACACCTTCAAGTGAGTCAGTGGCGATAAAAGGTTTAATAAGGTTAGTGACTATATCCTGGTGCCTTTGATGATGGTATTTCTGCTTTCGCAGATGTGCATGTGTGTTTTGGGGAACAGGAGGATGTTGCATGATGCTGAAAACTTGTGTTCCTGGGGAGTTCAAATATTCTGAGCACCAGGTGGGACAGAGCCCGGGAAGATGAGATAAACACATTAATCCAGACTATTTGATGAGATCCAATTTGTGTGGCTTTGAGCTTTGTTCAACTGTATTTACTTAACACCTCTCTTGAATAAGCGTAAGTAAATCATTTTTCAGCTCAGGAACAGTAGAAGAGCTGTTGTAGCAACACAGGCGTTGCTCTGAAGCAACGTTCTGCTATTTTGAATACAGAGGTAAGGTTCGTCAACATTTCCAGTTATAAGTTGCAGGTTTAATTGCTAATAACTTTGCCAAGCATTAGCCATTGGTGCTGACTTTGCCCAGCTCAGGTGTCTGCTTCAGACTGAGCATTATCATTTTGTTTTAACTCTTCAGCAAAACTAGTTCAGCTAATCCTGAGCTAAAGGAGAAGGAACTCGCATTGCTCTGACCGTAGCGCACACAACAGCTAAAACATCCTACAACCATTTCACTGGGAAGATCAAATGCCCTTGTGCATCAGGGCAGCAATCCGACCAACCTACATCTACCCTTACTTCAGGGCTATGCCATTTGCTGATACTTGTGGCCGTGTCACAAACTGAATAAAATCTCTGTTCTTCGGGATTTGGTGAAAAATGACAATGTTATTTTTCCGAAGGTGCTACATCTAAGCTGAGCATCCTCCTTCTCACCACGGCTCCTCTGGAGACACGTTTAACCTGTAGGGTGGGATGGTCTGACCTTGTCTCCAAGCCTGGTGTGTGGTGTAAGCTAGTCAGAGAAGCACCTTTTCAGCTGGTGCGGATAGCGTATCCTCTCCAGAGAAGACATTCATCCCATCCTGAGACAGGGGGAAAATGTCATCCCTTGGAGATGCCTCTTCCTTTTTCTTTCACTGTCACACTCTGAGCTATAAACAGAACAGATGACTGCTTTGTATTAACTTCAAAACTTTTATAAAGCTAGAACTAGGTCAGACAAATCCCACTCTGCTTCCACGCTCTGAAATCTTCCCTCTCCACTCTTGCTCCTCTGACTATGCGTTGTTCTGCACCGCCAGAAAATTCCTCCTCCTGTGGTCTAGTCGTTATCCTTTAAAATTCATCCTGCACCAGTGCCTGCCAGATGGGATGTAGCACTGTTCCAGCCCATGTATGTGAAAGAGGAACCACCTGAAGTATCTTGGTCACAGGCACTGATGATAAGTGTTGGATTTAACTTGATGGTCATTTGCACTAGGAAAACAGGTAATTACAAAGCGGATTTTAAAATGACTTTCTGTATTACCGTATGGCATCATTTCTCTCTGAGCCAGTTGTGATGTGACCAGAGAAGATATTTGCTAAATGAACGCGTACTCGTTGCTCGTGTTACAACTGCACTTCAGCACATGAGGTTCTCAGGAAATGCAAAGACTACCCCTTAAACGATCTCTCCTCCTAAAAAACTATTGGATGGAGGGATTTATAAACTTGCAAATATGGCCTCTCTGTGGGTGCAAACTCTTGATTTTGGGGTTGAGGCAGAGGGGCTCAGCTGAAAGAGAGACACTGGTTTCTATTGCTTGTGAATTGCATTACATCTGTGTGTGATCAGTGCTACAGACTGCAGTTGTAGAAGGCTACGCTGAGTGGCAAATTTCATCCTCTAGATAGTTGACTATAACGATGCACCCTTAAAATGATGAGATAGTAATAAGCATTTGAAACTGGGAGCTGTTCAAAGGCAAACATTTCTGTAAAATCTTCATTGCCGAGTTGCAGCACAGGCATTGGGTTTTTTTTTTTCCATCATTTATGTTTCATAATTTGTAGAAAAGTCAAAGCTTCACCTTTAGTAATAAAGAAAACATTTTCATTTCCAGCCTCTGGAAGGATGTTAGAAAACATTAGAAGAGAACGAGTTGCCATCTGCCTCTCTACGGGTTATGATGAATTAATACAATTGAAAGCAGCATAATCAAACAATTCTGAGCACCAGAAGTAGAAAGCAGGGTTGCTGTTTTTATTGCCTCTGTAAGAGCACATTTTATGCACTGTAATTTGATAAATTAATGCTCACAGTCTCCTCTCTGTGCAGTACATGATATGGACTGACTGGTCCACATACTCTTCTCTGTGTGCAGCATTCTTCCCAAGCACTGACAACATCACTGTTGGAAAACTAATCAACTCTATTTGAGATAAATTGCATTTCCGCCAATTATAGCTTAATTGTTGACAGATGGGAACACAGACGGGAGATATGTCAAATCATTAAGAGGACAGGTGTATAGATAAGTGCCAGATTAATTGTTCCAGCCCATTAAATCATTGACCTTTTCAGCATACCCTCAACATCAAATGCAAAGCTCTCACGATATTTCCAGATCACGCGTGATGACTCCCATGTTTATGAGAAAAGTTCTCAGGGGCATTTTTTAAAAACGCAGAATCCAGACACAGACTCATTAGCCACTAGCAGTTCTCCTTTCTCATTAAAATCAATTCAGTTATTTCTCCTTCTCTGTGTTGGGGGTTGTTTTCTTGGCCTTTCAGTGAAATTACATGTGGCATGTGGGCTTTCTCCAAAGAGCAGTTTTCTCCACGAAGCATGCAGACATGCTGTAATGGGCTGTACGTGCAGAGATGTCAAAAAGAGAGAGATGAAATCAGGACAGAGAAGTTGAATGCTGGGCAGCTGTGCTAGAGGCTGCAGGTTTGATTCTGGGCTTTGGTTGTGATTTCCAGCTCCTGCTTTGACTGGGTTTTTCAATAAGCCCTGGCAGAGACAAATACTTGATTTCCATTGAAACTGAGTCAGTCATGGTTTTCTAATTCCCCTGAACATGCCTAAAAATTTCTCTCCTACTCTTTTTCTGGCTACACAAACCAGCAATCTGAGGATGTGTGCAGGCACATCCAAGACAGGTTTTTGGAACTAGCTCAGGTTCGAAACAGTGATGCAAGCTATGCTTCTGCTGACCTGAGCTATCCAAACCCTGCATTGTCCTGGAAATTTGAGAAATGACTTTAGATCCAGTCATTCTGGGTGGTCTGCCTTGAAAAATAAGACAATAAGATTTCCAGCTGCAGGAAGTGATAGCTGCTGTGACAATAATGATATTTATTTGTTATTGATAGAGTTGCTATCTTGCATTGAACCCTTGGTGAGCAGGGAAGAATAGACCTGATTTCTTTCTCGTATTTCTGGAGAACAAAAGTAGCTCAGCTGCGGTGAAGCCAACGAAGTCACACCACAGAAGCACAGTCAAACAGCAGTCTGAATCTTGAGTTGACTAGGTGATGCATAGGCAAGAGAAAGGCAGTGGCTGGGAATGGAAAGTCTGCAGTATTTGCTTCACTGTGCGTGCGTGTGTGTGTGTGTATATGTAATTTCTAACTGGTCTTAGCTATTGGGCAGTCTAGAGGCCAACAAGCTAATTTGAAGATGTTTTACCCTGTGGCAGGTCTTAGATAGACCAAGTGGAAAGCGAACCAGCGAGGCAAGTAGAAAAGGGAGGTAGGAGGAAGATTTAATGCCCTTCAGCATCCTGACATGGTCTGCAGCTTCAAACAGAGGCAAAATTCATGCTAAGAATCAGGCAGGTCTTTTTCCCAGTGTCAGGACTGGCAATCTGCTCCCTCTCTTTCTTGTGTAGCTCCAGTCCCCTGCCTATCCCACCCTGCCACACTGAAATAGCTACATGATGGGTAACTGAAATGCCAGAGAATCATTTTATGTATATGCTTTACTGACTTATTCTATTCCTCCACAAAGCTGATGCGTGTTTACACTGGTGGCCTTTACAGACCTGCAAAGATAACTAGATAGGAGACAAGAGAACCGAGCAAAGTTATTTCTCAGATAATGAACAATTTTGGAAGAATAGGGAATTTTATGAGAAAATACAGTTTAGGAGGGATGGAACCTGTAAGGTTTGCTTTAACATGTCTGATACCCTTTATATAACTGTCACGTTGAATAGACTTGGCACTGTCAGGTTGCTACAGGCAGGCAGTTCAGATTTCCCGTAGATACAATAGCCTAGACCAGCACACTGCTCACACTGGGAAACATGCATGTGTGAGATGTTAGAAAGCCCTCAGTTTCCACCGTTCATTGCACAGTGTTGAACGTGAATAGAGAAAGCAAGTGAATAAAGGCCAGCTTTTTCAGAAGAATGTCTAAAATTGGAGTTTAGCACTGAGAACAGTATATGTATTACTGTGTCTGGTAGTGGTGGGGGAAGTGGGAATTACAAAAACAAAGTCAAAATGGAATTCTAGAAATGCCAGAATATTTATTTTAAGGATTCCCTAAGCCAGTAATTTTATCTTTCATTTTGAACTGAATTTTTGTGTTTTAGAAAAGGAATATAAGGTAAAAAGAAAAGCTAAATAGGAAGATAAAGTTAAAAGTTCCAAAGGGAAGTGAAACATTTGATTTCAAGTTGAACTTAGTATTTGGGGTTAGCCCAGAACATTTTTAAGCTTGTTTGTTTGGCCAGCCTTCTCCTTCTTCCTCCACCCTTCACTTTACTGTTACTCAGCCCAAACCATTTTTTTTCCCACATATTTTGATTCAGCCACATTCCCAAAGCCGTCATTATTCGGTCAAGGAGGACTGGGTTAGAGATCATGTGGGCAAACTTGACATCCACAGATCCATGGGCCCTGATGGGATGCACCCGCGAGTGCTGAGGGAGCTGGCGGATGTCATTGCTAGGCCACTCTCCATCCTCTTGGAAAGGTCCTGGAGATCAGGAGAGGTGCCTGAGGGCTGGAAGAAAGCCAGTGTCACCCCAGCCTTCAAAAAGGGCAAGAAGGAGGAGCCAGGAAACTACAGGCCTGTCAGCCTCACCTCCATCCCTGGAAAGGTGATGGAACAGCTCATCCTGGAGGTCATCACTAAGCATCTGGAGGACAAGAAGGTGATCAGGAGTAGTCAGCATGGATTCACCAAAGGGAAATCATGCTCGACCAACCTGATAGCCTTCTATGACGGAATGACTGGCTCGGTGGATGAGGGGAGAGCAGTGGATGTTGTCTACCTGGACTTCAGCAAGGCTTTGGACCCTGTCTCCCATCACATCCTCGTAGGTAAACTCAGAAGTGTGGGCTAGATGAGTGGACGGTGAGGTGGATTGAGAACTGGCTGGATGGCCGAGCTCAGAGGGTTGTGATCAGTGGCGCAGAGTCTAGTTGGAGGCCTGTAGCCAGCAGTGTCCCT